CCAGCAGGGTCAGAGGGCTGCAGCCTGTCACTGATGACTTCTTGTATGGCCCCTTTCAGACATGCACTCCTTCACATTTATCTGATGGGAGCTGAACATGATGACTTGGCTTCGTGTGTTTCAGCCAAGGAATGCGAATAAGCGAGCAACACAGGGTGTGTCTTCTTCTATTTGCTTTAACAGATGATGTGAAGCTTTATTTTGAAACAGACAAACTCTTGTTTAAGATATCTATATCTTAGATATATTTCCACATCATGAACTTTTGTTATTTCTTGAAAAGTACTTTTATTTTGGGGAACAGACAACAAAGATGCTGGAAAAAAAATATACAATTTTACCTTCCTTCAAATCCTGTCATTATGTAATGGAAAATGATACTTTTAACAAAATGCAACAAAAATACTGTTACGATATTTAACCAAAATTAAACTTTTTTCATATTATAAAGTATTGTGTTAGGTTATGTATTTGTTGCATGTGTCTAATTGTATGTATAAACAATAGAAAAGATGCAGAAATTTACTTTAAAAAGTAAAATATTCCTAAATACTTAGTGTTTACACATTTTTATTTTTATTGTAATTGTTTTCATATTGTATGGCTGCATGAAAGACTTTTTTTTCCTTTTTTGTAAATATACCTTTTTCTCTTTAAAAACAACGTCCATTTATTTGTCATTATGGGCCCCTATTAACATTCGCCCGCAGTTATCAGTTTCCGTCTATACAAATATAATACTGCTGCACTAAGGACATAAAGAGGCTCTTTATTTCGCTAAAAACGCAGCGAAAAAACAGACAAAGCAGCAGCATTAGCTCCCCTTGACAGGGGGGAGTTAACATCTTTTACGTTTCCGTGACGCCGCAGCCCTCCCAACCCAAAAAGCTCCAACATCCACACAGAGCGGCAGTTTCTATCCCCCATCTCCGTCCCGTTGAATCTGCTGTAGGTTCAGAGGAACTGAAGCTGGTAAGTTTCATCTCCAAATCTAGTTTGTTCCTGTTCTAAACCATCAGGCACTGTAAAGGTCGTGTTTTTTTCGATAAACTTCGCGTAAATCCAATCTGCGATGGGTTAGGACGCATTTACGTGAGTGAACTGAAACGAGCGCTGCTGCTATTGTCAACATTGAATGGAGTGCGTTTATTTTAGATATTCACAATCCGCATTCATTTTTTTTGTTTTTGTTTAAATAGACTAGTGGAGGTAAGTTACGTTCAATCGTAAAGCGTGAAGTTAGTTTAAAAACGTAAGAAAAGAAGGAAAAAACGGCCAGCTTTCAACTTTTCTCGCAAATTAGTAACAGCGGATTTGTATAAAGTCGTCTTGAATTTAAACTTGCTAAATTGTTCACATCCTCTTTTGTGTTGCAGACTTTAACAATGTATATTATTGAGATTTTAGGTAATAAATAATAATTACAAATAATTACTCTTATACAAGTAAACAAAGCCTTTCCGTCATAAACTCTCCATTCCGTCAGTGATGCATGGTGGTGGCAGCATCATGGTGTGGGGATGCTTTTCTTTCTTGAAATGGAAACCAGTTAGAAACATTGTGACCCAGACATTCCCAGCATGCGTTCGAGCCAGGCTCTTCCAGGAGCTTTTGTTCCCGTTCTCATAACCCTTCAGCTGAGGTTACCTTACCGTTTACTGATCCAGCTTCCAACAGGATGTGATTCATCCACTGGTTTGCTGTTACTATTTCATTAAGATGTGGAACATTTTAAGAGGCACAGAGCCTCCTGAGGATCCCATAAAAAGTGTTACAGTCGAGAAATGAGTCAGCAATGCCCACACAAAGCAGCCGAGGCAACAAATCTCACTTCTGTGTGTTCTTTTGCACAAGAATTTGCTCGACGCACTAACCTTTTTCCTTCTCGATGCTGGGCTGAGATCAAAAAGCAAACAAAAGCAGCAGTATGGGTGGAGTGTTAAGCTCGTGCCATGTGTGTCTGGTCTGCAGAGCAAAGCCGGCGTGCTTCAAAGCCAGACCCGGTGGTCGAGGTTTTGATGGAGTTTACTCCTGACACAAATCACCGAGCCTTCATCTAACGAATTTGTTCGTTCACACTTGACACACGGGTCGATGTCAGCTTCAGCGACGGACCGTGTTGACTGGCTGTATTGGGTCAGTGAAGCAGGAAGACGGGCATTTGGGTCTCAATCCTTTAACTAAATACACACAAAATTATTATTTATTGTTAAAAAGTTAAGGAAGAATGAAAATCTGCACCGATTCTTCTGCAGGAGTAGTTAAATGTTGCAAATAAAAACCACAAAAGGACAAAAATGTGTTTCTTGATGGAGGTTACAGTTTTAAATACCATGTGAAATTAAGGAACTACAATTATTTTTAACCAACATTTGATCTAGGAATCTTTTTTGCATCCACTTCTAGATTATTTAAATGATTTTCCAAACAAAATGAAAGGTTCAAATGGAGAAATAAATTGTATATTTTTGTAAAAAAAAAATCACTAGAATAAATGTGAAACTAGTATCTATTTTATTTTGTTGTGAAAAGATCACAAAACTTTCAGTAGGAAGAAAATTCATTAACATTCATCCTAAAACATATAGAGACAGTGAATGCATCATATCCTCTGGGTATTTAGTCAGTCCTTTTTTTATTAAACATCTTCTGCTCCACATATTAATCTCATTTTCAACACATTCCTCTGCAAGCTTCAACATTTGATAATATTACAAATTAATACACAGATTTCAGAGTCCAATTTCCACTTTAAACCCTTAAAATTCCTCCAGATTTTGTAACATTTTAACCAAAAATTGGAGAACAGATACACGTTTTCCAACATTTTTCCCCCCAGTGTCAATACTTTGCTGCAGTTACGGCTTTTTGACAATTAGAGACTTACCTGTTTCTCCAAACTTAAATTAGACTGGATGGAGATCACCTCAGATCAACACTTTTCATCTTGTCATAAATTCCTTATAGGATTTAAGTCTGGACTTTGACTAGGCCATTCTAACATCTCAAATCTTGTAGTCAAACAGGATTTGTATAAAATCCCTATGAAGCAGAACTTTGTGGTTATTGACGTAAGAAAGCGTGAAAACAGTTTGGATGGATACTTTTGTAAGACACAGATTGTCCACTAAGTGTGAATTGGTGGGATTTTAATAATTATATTTTAGTACAAAAGCTGTTAACTCCTTATAAAACACATTGCAACATTCATGTTTGAAGATAAATGCAGCAAATCACAGTATAATTTGACTTAAAGGCGACAGCTTGGCTTTACTAACTCTGCATTTACACACATCTTTATTACCTGATGTAAAAATTCATCAATTCATTCAGCGGCTGATTCTTGGTCGATATTATTGATCTTCTGCTCTGTTCGCTGCAACTTAAACCAGATTTCTGGCACCGACCATGGCGCTCAAAGCTGGAGACCGAGTCTTCAGCAGTAAAGCATCTCGTTATGAGCCGTACTGTAACACTGTGGCCTGAGGAGCGTGACAAATGAATGGAAGCACTTAGAGCAGGAGACCTCAAATAAAACTTTCAAGTAATTATTTAATTAATCCTGGTTTCTAGGGCTCAACTTTAAAAGGACAGAGGTGAAGCTACTCTGCAGCCAAGCATGCCTTTGGTTGGTTACACGTGGAAAAGCAGGAGTAATTATAGGAAGATGTGATAATAAAAGAGCAGCTAGAGCTTCCTAAAATATTACTAAAATAAAGCAGTTTAATTGTAGGCTGTGTGTCCGGTCTGGCAGCAAACAACATGGTGGATCTGTTTGCTTTATCGGGTTAGCATTACTAGCATTAGCTTATTAAAAAAACAATGCTGAACTAAACTAAGAAACTTATTTTCTACAATATTCTACAAAAATCCAATAACAAGAATTAAAAAATATATTATTTCTGAATTCCCGATGGAGCTAGCTAGCTAGCATGCTAATATTAGCTTGTACGTTGACATAAAGTGGCAATACACTTTAATTAGTTTCATTTTTACTTCTCTCCTCTTCTATACATTTTTTTGCATATTTTTTATATTAAAAAGTAGAATTGTGTTTGTTGAATATTTATATTTTATTGTGAAAAGTTTATGTAAACATCCTTTAGCAGATGTCAAGGAAGTAAAAAAGAAAGAAGCTACTGTTTAATACCGTTGGTGACAAAATTACAGATTTTCAGATCCAGTTGTGCTGCCATTTATGTTTTAGGATGTAATTATTATGCAAGAAATATTATCCGTATTGCATAATTTGTTTATTTGGCTTTAAAATGAGTACATCGGTGGTTAAAGTGGATCAGATATGAATAAATGTGTGCAGGATAGAACAGCGTTCAGCTAAAGCGTGGATCAGTCTTACTGGGGCATGTTTAATGCAAAGAAAACAAGCATTTATAACCACCCAGCCTGGCACAGAGCCTGGGGATAAAGAACAAAGTGGAGTTAGAGGCATCTGAGCTCAGAGCTGATCTTACACAAATCTGCTAATCTGAGTAAAAGGGGGTAAAACCAGGTCAGCTGGTGTTTAATTCAGTGACTGACGTCTCAGAGGATCCTTGGAGAGCCGCTTTGGGTAAAGCTGAAAGAAAACTGTAATTCTTTTAAATGTTACTGTGAAAAAATAAATAAAAATGAACATATTTATCTGGTAGTTTTAAATGTTACTGTGAAAAAAAAATAAAAATGAACATATTTATCTGGTAATTTTCCCCCCAGTATTATTCAGGTACATTTTTAAAAATGTTTTCAACCAGTCAGTTCATGGTTGAAACCAGTAGAGGGTCTCCTGCAGTAAAAATATCTGAATCTTATTACTCTATCCTTTTTTCTGCTTGGAGAAGAGTTTTTAAATTAGAGTTGTACCTCATTTAAATCTCAACAGTTGTTTGAAATGAGAATTCACTCTGGAACTAAATTTAGTGTTTTTTCTATATTCTTTTGCTTACATCGGTGTATCATAAGCTGTTATTTTATTATGGCAGCAGAAGGGATTACAGTTTTTAAATTTTAATAAATGCATTTATTTCATGTTGCACATTTGTGAATTTTTCTTTTTAAAACATACCACTGAATTATAAATACATACTGCTAACACAAGAGGTTGAATTATTCAAATAAAAAAAATATTTTACTGATCCCAGAGATAAATGAATTAATATGGTGTTTTAATCAGGCACATTAATTATGATGCGCTTTTTTCAGTAAATGTTTTGCAAAATATCTCTAAATTCCCTTTATTATCCTCACAAAGCCTCTTGTTTTGGATCAGATGTTATTAAATGTAGCATTTTATGAAAATCTAAAGCAAATATTTAAAGGTTTTGTCACAATATGGGTGGAAATCCATCATTTAGCTACGAAGGCTAATAAAATCAAGGCATTGAACTCATGTGGCTGCTGCTTAATGACACGTTTCTCTGTTGTAGCGTTTGACACGGTGTGTAGCGTTGATGTAGACCCATGATGGATGCCTGGCCAGCTGTGGCCTGGATCCTGATGCTGGTGTCAGTTTCTGAGTGGACGGAAACCGCAGAGTCACGGGATTTCACCATGAAGGACATAATTCAGCTGCATCCTTCCAGTACGACCGCGGCGTTGAATCCTGCAGATCAGCTGCAGTTACATCACTTATCCAAGCTTCCTATTTACTCAGATACTCTTAACAATTATAACTTTATTTTTGCTTAGGTGGTTTTTTTAGCTCACGTGGTAAATGTTACAGTTCAGTTTGTGCAGAGTTGTGATGTTACCTATCTTGAAAACATTTTTTTTTTTTACTTGCTAGCAGTTTTTGTAACTAGAAATCTGTTAATTAGTTGCAAGAAATCTATTATTTAAAGTTTTTAATTTTTTTAAAGCTACACATGTTTCAATCCCACATTATGACTAAATTCATGACTGATTTTTGCTCATTTTTCAGTATGAAAATGGTTGTGTACAGTCTGCATAATCATGTTTAAATTAGCAGCAGGAATGTTGCAGAAACCGCAGAAGAGCTGAAATGCAACTTCTTAAAGTACTTAAATTCCTTTTTCATGTTTTGTAACAAAACTACAAACAGTTTAAGTGTTGCTTTCCTTTGTTTTCAGCTAATTTTACCACGCTACCCCTAAATAAAATCCACCTTACCAACCATCTTCAGTCATTCAGGGCTTTAAATATTTCTATTATAGTACTAAAATAGTTTTTTTTAATATGAATGCAAGTATAGAATGCAGTATTTTCTTCCTGATAAATAGATTTTGTCTGCCTGTCCTCTGCAGCCACACCTCATCCAGGTGGTTTCAAATGTTTCACATGTCAGGACGCTGCAGATAACTACGACTGTAACCGCTGGGCTCCAGATGTTTACTGTCCAAAAGGTAAATCAGCTTCTTCTTTTAATATTCGTAAAATAAGCCAACAGGAAGTTAACCTGAAGCTGACCAGCTAAACTAAGTTTATTTTCTGTATTTATTAAGTACTACTTGTAATAATCAGAAGAGTTTTCTTCTAGATACAAGTTATTGCTACACGCTCCACATGATGGATAACCATGGCGACAGCGTTTCTGTGACGAAGCGCTGCGCAACCTGGGAGCACTGCCGCTTCGCCGGCTGTGTCAACATCACCCACAACGGCTTCCAGGTGAAATACGGACCCAGTTACAGGCACAGGACCCAAAAATGTACTCAAGTAAAAGTAAAAAGTAGCTGTCGAAGAAGTTACTTGAGAGTAAAAAATATTTGGTAAAAAGTGCTGACTGATCAAGTTATCATTTAATATTTAAAAATTACATCAGCCGGACCAAATTATAAAGNTAAGTGGAAATTTTGGTATTTTAAGAATGAAAATGACAAAAATCTTTTTAAAAAATCAGGCAAGAGAAATTCTTTCAAATCAGTCAATAAAAAACTTTAAAAACTGCAGGTGTGTGTCTTGAGTCTGGTGAATTTTTAGCTAAAACATGTTTGTTTTTCATCCAGTGGGCAGAGAATCCAGAAATTTTACTCAAGTAAGAGCAGAAATACATCATAATAAAATAACTCAAAGTACAGCATAGGAAAAATACTCCTAAAAGTACATTATTTTCAAAATAAGTTATTCAGGTAAATGCAACTCTGGTTACCAGTTACAGCTTTGTGGATGATCCAACTCTCCTCTCACCTGCTGCAGGTGTGCACGTCCTGTTGCCACGGAAACATCTGCAACATGCTGGTGCCGATAAACGACAGCGGCGCCGTGTTCTCCTCGACCGGGCCTCTGGTCGGCACGGGCTGCAGGCTGCGTCCTGCTGCACTACGTTACATCACCCTCATCACTGCCAGCAGCTGCTGGACACATCTAAGAAGTCGAATCGCTTAACACACAAAACTTCCTTCCTTTTATCAAGCTTACAGACGACTATGTAGTGTTTTTTTAACCGTTATTTATTTTCTATGCAGGTTTTTATTTTTAAATAAAATAAACTGTAAACGTGATTTGGATGTTTTACCCAGTGGAGAAGCTCTACGGGATTTTCTGATAGATCAACACAAAATATTGTATAAATGTTTCAGGTAAATTTGTACTTTGCTATTTTTATTTATAAATTAAATTTGAGTAAAGTGTGGAATACATTTGCTTTTCAGGCAGGAGCGAAAAAATTTTATGATTTTCTACTTTTGTTCATAGCATGAAATCTCTAAAACATTAATTTTAAAGTGTTTTTGTAAAACAAAATTTAATAAAAAAAAAATGATTGAAAGGGGTTTGAATTATTTTCCAAGGCAACATGTATTATCAGAAATCAAAACAAAGCTTGTGAGTAAAATCTTGAACCATTAAAGTCGTTCAACTTTAATCTAATTCCAGGACAATTTAGGAAAAGATCATCTTCACTCACATGCCTCATTTTACAAATTTACAAATCATATTGATCAACAGATATGAGGAAGCCAGAACTAAGTGCTTTTTTAGATCTGTGACTGAAAATATTAACATATTTAAGACGTTTTGATTAACTAAAATCACTGTGCAGGAAGGAAACAAGAACAGCGGTGGAAGCATTATTCTGAAACTCTTAATTAAATTTTGACTCATTTCTCTGTGAGTAAACTTATAAAACCAGCAGTGGATTAAACAGTTGCTTCCTGGAAATAAAGTGAGTCCAGCCTGAAAGGAAAACATTTTATTAGCAGTGCGTTACGACCCGATGTCGTTCCGGCGAACGTGTTCATGTCGTTTCGAGGCTTGTTGTCGTTCCTCACCTGGTAATTTCATAAATACAAATATTCTCTAAAAATATCAACACTTTCTACAGATTGAACATATTGCAAAGTTGACGTTTTGAGCGCGGGTTTGCCCCGGATGTAGTGAAGAGTGTGGAGTCGTTAACACCAACATGTCCTTACAGAGTTTTGTCACACAACCGAGCCAAAATCAAAACATCTCACACCACGATTAGAGGCATTCTTGTGCAAATCTCCTGGTGTTTAATTTTAAAAACAAGCCTACTCTTCTTCATCAAATCCATTCGATAGTCCTTGAAGTCTCGTTACAGCATCGCTGTTGGCAGGTGCGTCGGTGAAAACGGTCCCCACGAACAAAGGCGTTCCCCTGAGGATGTGGCGAATGACGGTGCAGGAGCCCGACACTTCGATGTGAAAACCCAAATGTCTGAGCTGCTCCTCCGGCCGCAGAGCCGACGCAGCCAATGGAGACGCAAAGAACTGTGGGAGAACGCATTTAGAAGATCATAGTCAGTTCATTTTGGTAAATTATCAACATGTATACATCAACAGTTTCATGCCAAAAACTGAAACGCATCTAGACTTTACCTGGCTCAAATTAGACTTATTCTCTCTTAACTAAAATAATTTCTGAATTTCAGAAGGAAAACTTTTGTTCAATCCTTTATACATTTTATATGTACAATATCTTTAAAGTATTGCTTTGAATAAAGAGTTTATTAGTTGGTTCACGATATCAACTTTATTGATAAGCCTAATAGCTTTTTTTTGTTGCAACTTTAATATATCAATGGTTGTTTACTTGCATTTCCCAGATTTCTGAACAAAATAACCAAAAGGCATAGCCAAAGAGGAATATATAATATATAATATGCAAGCCTTTGTGTGATTCAGTACTTACAGCTTCTCCTGTTGTCGGGTTGATAAAGTCGGCCCAGTATCCCGCCGTCCACAGGGCGAAGCACATCTCCTTCGCCCCGCTCACAAACTGCAGTGACGACATATTCTCAGTCTACAGCCACTTCCTCAATTTCCCAAAACAAAGCGAAACAAAGACTCACTTTATGAAGCAGCTGGTCTCTGTCTGGTTCTGCTGCTCCGTCGTCTTGACGACCTCTTCTCTGGGTTACCGTCACGACTGTGATGGAGGCCGTTGGTGCCGAGGGGAACATCAGCTCCAGTTCTGAGACAGACGGATTAGTTACTGAAATTCAAAGGCAGCTGTAGGCCTGTCAAAATAAATAATTATATTGTAATTTTGAGACCATTTTCAACAAATATAGTAATAATTGATTCAAGTACAGCCCCTCAGACTTTAATTTCTGAAGAATATTTAACACTGGAACTGGAAAACATTTTAAATATCCAAAATAAATGATGAAAAAGGATTATGAAGTCTCTGTAACCAAAAACTATCATGCGATTAATTGATTTATTGCTTGTTGTGACCAGCTTAATGTTCTCTTACCTTTCTTTAGCAGCTCAGGGCAGGAGCTCACAGAGCAGTCAGTGTCTGTCTGGTTGAAGTACTGCTCGGCTTTGTGGACTCTTATGTTTTCAGGGCCCAATTTTTCCTGAAAACAAACAAAGTGTACAAAATATCAGAGCTGAATGTAAAGACATTAATGTCTAAAAAGTTACAGCTAATGGAATTTTATGTGTTTTTACAAATAAAAATATTAAAAATGTGGCTTCCATCTTTATTCAGACCTCCTGAGTCAATTCTTTGTAACATCGACTTTTCCTGCAGTCAAATCTGCATTTGTAGACGTGAAAACTTTTAACTAAAGTAAAGTTTGTAGATTGAGGAAAAACAGAACTACAATTATTTTACATAATACTTATTATGCTAATTATTTCTGATGTTCACTCTTTATATGAAGCAGCATATTTAGCAGCGGTTGGCACTCTTTCACTAATTGCTAATAGCAGAGCTAACTTTTCGCTTAGCACTTTAGTATTTTGCTAACTTTGAAGACATTTAGCAAACTTAACTTCATCTAATTAAAATTTTGCAAATAAATTCTAAAGCGTTAATTTACTTAGCCGTTAAATAAATTTCCAGTTGAATAAAGTTCAACATTTGTGTTGAAGTTTTGGTTATCGACTTAAAATTTCTACAAATAGTTAGACATTTATATTCACGCTCTTATTGTGAAGGGGTGAAGACTATTTAAAGAGAAGTTCCATTTCCTCTCAGTAACGTTTCTTTTTGCACAAGAAACTTTATTGAGCAAATGGCAAGCACACAACAAACAAATTAAACAAACCAGGAAGCAAAAATGTAGGTTTGAGTAAAGCTCTAGGGTTAGCATGACTACCTTTTCAGTCATAGACCACCCTGACTGTGTTGTCAGTGCAAGAGGCACAACGATTACTAAACTACTCACATGAAACTCGTTGACAAACTGGGCCAGAATAAACTGGTGTCTGTCCATGCTGTTTGGAGTCGTGAGAACGTCAGGCACCGTCTTGTGAACCGGAACCTTCTTTTGGTTCCCCATGCCTTCCAGGTGGGAGTCAAACCCGACATTACCGGGCAGCTGAAATCGCTGGTCCTGAGGTCCAAATGGTCCCATGCTCTCATCAGGCCACACAGTCCTGGGCCCTGCAATCACAGACAGAATTGTTCAGAAACCAACTCACGGACCCACTTCCTATTTGACTCACCATGTCTCACCTGAGTGTGTGGGTGACACGGCGATGTACGGCTCGTCAGAGCTGGCGGCTGAGAACGTCCTGCTTCTTCCAACTCTGAGAGAAGTCAAAGCATGTCGGCCGGCGGTCTGAGACAGGATCAACCTGCTTCGACCACACAGCACCTGCAACAGAACAACATCGTCTAAAGGCAAATAATCTGAAATATTTTCTGAAATAAACACGCTGCTATGTCCTGGAATTATTTCAAATATATTTAATCTTTTTATTTTATTCTTTGCAGATCTCTTGATATCACTCATAACTCTGTAATACACAGTTAAGATATTTAAGACATAATTAAGATGCAAGTAAGTTACTTACATTGCTTGACATTCTGGCTCGCCGCCTTCACCTTTCAACCTGTTATACAGTTAACAAAAAAAAAAATATATATACATAAAACAGACCTTCAGATGGGATGAGATTGCCATCACCTTCAACGTGCTAACATGGCTAACTAGCAACCATAGCGAAGTCTGATGCAATAAGAGTCTGTTAGCCAAAAGACAGGTTAACAGCAAACATAATGCCACTACTTACTATGAATTTGATCACGAACATATTTAAGATTGTTTTAATATTTTAAAATAAAATCAGTCAGCCTCGAAAAACAGCCAAGAGAAGTAGCTAAGACCGACACGACTAGCTGTTAGCTGCGGTTAGCTGACAGGCTGCTAATTTGTTCTGTCAGTTTCCTGTTTTTATGCTCAAAACATCAACACAAAACCTCGTTGTTATGTACAACAAACACTTCATAACGTTAGTTATGCAAACTAAACGCGATTAAAGGAGTACATACTTCTTAGGATTCCCTATCAACTTGAGCGACTGCTTTGACAAAACAACGACGGAAGCTGCCAAGGGTCAAAACCAACTTACGTTTGTGTAACCAAAACAGTGGTCGTCAAAGAGCGCGTGACGGGGTTCATACGTCAACGTTGTCGCCATATTGTGAATGGCACATGAACACAACGCAGACGAACGTATAGATACTTTTGAAAAACCCCTTTTTTTTTGGACAAAATGGTCAGATTTTTTTTCAGGCTACACACTTAAATCTTCATCAAATTATTTGTAAATTTTTGTATTCTCTACAAAGGTGAAAAGTACCTTTTAGTTTAAGTCTAAAAATAAGCTATATTGACACGCTATCTTCCCTCAATAAAAAGAGGAAGATAGCATGTCAAATTTAACAAATTAATAAATAGCTCTATATTGTTTTCTTCTCGTCTAAAATATCTTGTGTTCAATTCAACTCATAACTATAAATTGATTCTTTTTTATAATCCTTGGGTTATAGACCATCCAAAAAGTAAGAAAAAAAAATCAATCCTAAAAATAAATAGAATTAAATAGGCACATTAAATGCAAATAAAAAACATTTTATGTTAATATTTACTGTTATCCTGCAGTTATATTTGTCTCTGTAATCCCAGAGTTCATCCTAAATCTGATTACAAACGGTAGTGATAATGAATAAATAACGTTAAACTCAAATCTCGCCACAAGATGGCAGCAAATTATTATTTAATATCGATGAGGACATCATCTGAGCTGCAGCTTTGACCAGAAAACAGGAAGTATTTTCATCCCCTTTTAATTAAGTGCAATTATATTCAAACAGAAAGGTCATTTTGAGAAAAGTCATACTAAATATGCACTTTTGTAACACTAGTAAACTTTAAATTGTAGGTATTCGTATATTACTGCCACATTTGACTTACTGGGAAACTATAATAATGAAGGAATCATCCTGACAAACAGAACAAAAACAGAAAA